TCCAGTGAAATATATTTATGTTTGTGGTTGTAATGTGACAAAATATGGAAAAGTTCAAGGGGTATGAATACTTTTGCAAACCACTGTATGTTAATTTGGACTGAAATGAATAGCTCTGTTTAGGAGATCCAGTGCACACAAGACAGTGTGACGTACAACCAGTATTGTCCAACCAGAGAAAAGTAAGCTTCCTCGTGCGGAGGCATAAAAAGTTATTTTCCAAAGTTTTCCAAAGTTTTTTTTTGTTTGTCAAACTGCCAGAACTAAACAAGTTTTATTTTTATGAGCATCATTCATTATAAGATTCATTCATACTATTCTTGATTTTTCAAGGAATTGCTTGACTTTTTGTTGTCAAAATAATACAGGATTCCACTGAACAACATTAAGTTTCAGAGCTTTGCTGATGATAAATATTAGCTCAAAACATGAGAAAAAAAATCTGTCTACATCACAGTATGTAGACAGATTTTTGTTTCTCATGTTTAGAGCTAATATTTATCCAGAAAGAATAATTTTCTGCTACTGGTATAATGATATTCTTTATCATGAAAGATTTTGAATGGCTGTCAAACACAGTTTAAAATTGGATGTTTAAAACTGTTGTGATTAAAAGCTTTTAGTGGTTCCAACACTGATTGATCCTTGTTTGATAGAAGCTATCTTACAAATGACCTTCAAAAATCCATTGTAGACTGCTTAGAGAAAATAATTTCAAAATAAAAACCTTACTTTTATTAACTTAACCACACAATAGCAACTACAAACTATATTTCTAAAAAGAATTAAGTAAAATCTGTTTGAGGAATGATACAATACCAAGGGAAGTTGTCTCTTCTTAGTTTATTTGTATAGTTGGATTTCTCGTGCTTATTGATGCTCTTTTATTCCACGGTTATTGTAATTCGGGGTCCTGTGGGAATATGAGTCTTCATACATCCATCCTCTTAGTGGCAGTGTCTGCACCTTTACCATTACCTTACTGTTGATGACGGAGTGGTTATATGTTAGCAGATGTGGAACTGAATTAAAGCTGACCGAGTTTGTCAGACAAAGAAATTCTCTTCAGGTCCACTGAAACATAACATAATACCAGGAGTGATCTAGTATCCAGAGTCATGGGAAGTATGAAGCCGCCTGGTCTTGTGAACTGGACTGGAAATGTTGATTGTGAGTAGAGAACTTTTAAACAGTGTTTCATGTTGTATCTCCAAGCCCTTGGCCTGGATGGAAAAACAGATGCAAAGAAGGTTGCATTGCTCCTTCCTGTCGCAGGACCACTGGCAGTGGATGTCTACAACTGGTTTGTGTACAATCATGACAAGGACAAAGATAAGTTTGACACAGTTGTGCAGAATTTTGATGAACATTAATCACACAAGAAAAATTAGACATTTGAACGTTCATGCTCATCTGTTAGACTGCTGGCTAAAAGTTTTGATGTTTTTCTGACAGATTTAAAACTGAAGGTCAGGACTTGTAACTTTGGAGGGCTGCATGATTCAATTAGGGACAACAAAGTGTGAGAACGATTGCTGCAAGAGACTGAGCTAACTCTAGCTGATGCTTAAAGGTTTGTCAAGCTAGTGAACAAGCACTACAGCATGCTAAAACATTTGGTGAAACAGCAAGAGAAGACAGTGCAGCAGTAGCCAGTGTGTCTACCAGGACATATAAAACCAGAGCTGCACATGCTAAAGGGTACAAAGTGAAGGACCCTTCAACTGTAAAAGGTATGTAGCCAGACATAAACCTAAACAATGTGCAGCTTTTGAAAAGTTTACAAGTCTAAAGTACAAAATCACTTTTCAAAGCAATGTTTCTCCAGAAGTGAAATGATGCAGTGAACGTGTAGCGACTGTAGAAGAAACTGCTCTCTGTGATACATTATTTGTGAGCATGGTGACAGAGAATAAATCACCATCTGTAGAGAGGAAGATTACAAGTTTGGACATAGTGAAGCAGGACAAATGGACAGAAGCACTACATGTCAATGGAACTGTCATCACTTTCAAGTTGGATACAATTGCAAAAATGGGTTTGGTGAATGAGTTTAATATCAAGGCAGTGAAGGTGAAAGCACAAATTCATCCAAATCATGTCACTCTAAGCTTCCACCTGACAACCCAAATCTGTCTTCATGATGGTTGTGAGTTCAAGCGGACAGATAATCATGCAAATAAGTGGGCACAGTTAAAACCTATACTCACCACTGAACCAGTGTTGCATACTTTGACCCATCCAAAACAACAAATATATCCACTGACTCCTCAAAGAATGAGATTGGAGCACAGTGGTGGCTGATGGATTTTTCTACGGGGGAGGCACAACTCCAAAATAGGCTCATCTCCAACAAAAACAATCAAAACTGTACTAAGTTGTATCACGACAGTGTATTTATTAAATAAATGAAAAATAATAAAACAGCATTACAATGTCATGTAGTGTTTTATTTTTTGTACATAAAGTTTGCTCTTCTGTTACTGAGAAGCAAATTTCTTCATGACTCTGGTTAAAGTCAGGGATGTTTTAACCAGATTCTTCTCTATAGAGCATGGTCAGTGCAGTGAGATGTGATGTGTACCTGAGGAAAGTCTGGATTCTCTTCAGTGTTGAGAAGCTCCTCTCAGATTCAGCTGTGGTCAAAGGAGATGTGATGAGAATATTCAGCAGAGTCACAGGCTGTGCCTCAATTCGTGGGTTACAGTCGATATGGACCGGTCGACGTCGGATAGCAGATGACGTGGGCCGCTCGGCTGATCGTGTCAGCTGCATAAAACGGCTGTGAATTGGGATGGTCTAGCCTACGGATGACGTATGTTTACGTGGCCTCTCGCTGCTCCGTTACCATAGTGATACCTTGATACGGAAGTACGTGATAAGTTTTCGAAAAAGCAGGGAAAATGGAGCCAGAAATGGAGTGCGTAGTTTTATTGTTTTTGGCAATAATTGAGGAGATGAGTGTTTTACTCAACGTCCATTTTACTTTAGGCTGACAGAAGACTGCAACAAGGTAAGAACTGTTTAGGCTTAATTTATTAATAAGATTAAAGAATATTAAAGCATTGATGTCTGTTTTTATGTGCATTAGCTTATTTCAAATAAGCCTTGAAATTTAAAACACATTTGTTATCAATTAAAGTTTCAGAAAATTGTTTTAATTTTAATTGTGTATACTCATTTTAATGAACTTTAAATACAAATAGTAGTTACATTTAAGAAATAATTTTGTGACACTGAACCAAGATGTTTTACTGTCACAAAATTATTCTATTCTAAATTATNTTTACCTGTACCTTTACATGAAGAAGAGTACTAAGTGATTGTATGTTAGCAGGTGTGACACAAAAAATAAAAAGAAGAACACTGAGTTTGTCAAACGAAGTCCTGTCTGGAGTTTTACTAAAACATAACAATGGTAATATAATAGAAATACTAAAAATAAAAAAAATACTGTACATGTCAATTAAAATAAAATATGATACTGTGCAGGTAAAGTACAATAACTGATCTGTTCCTGGATATTTCAATAAGACTTTCATTTCTTTCTCTACGTCTGAACAAGTGACAGCAACACATTCCTGAAAACTTCTCTCTGTTGTCCTGAAACGTGCTCCCTGCAGATTTTCAACCTCAGCTTCCTGTTCACTGCAGCCATGTGCAACGTCACCATCTAACCATGAGTTTAAAGCTGGTTTACCTTTTTAAAGGGGTAATTCTGTGTTTTCTGTCTCTGCAGTCCCGGGTTCAGTTCCCACAGAGTCTCTGCAGAATACCCCGTATGAGGAGAAGATCTTCATGCAGTGGAAAGCTCCCAACGAGACCAATGGGGCCATCACGCTCTACGAGGTCAGTCCAGCTCATTGCTGCAGTGTCATTTAGAAAACAGAATTCGGTGGGTACACATTTGTTTTAGGTTAGGGCACTGTGGTGAGAGCATTACATACCAACTGTTCTGAAACTTTTACTTATAAACTACAGTCTATTTAAAATCTGTATACTGACCATTATGTACAAGACTCAACACCTCATCCCCTGACATGAAGAAAAACCTGCATAGATTCTCTTCAATGTGCACTCTTAGAAAGGAAGTGTTGAATTTACCAAACTGGTTCCACTAAACCAAGTTGAGTAAATGGAGCAATTTGCATATTTTCTTTAAAAACAAATATGTGGATTGTTTTACATTTACTCAGCTCGGTAAAACCAGTTGACATAACTTGGTTAAGTAAATACAACACGTGCATTAACAACTCCTTTCATGATAGTTATATTTAAATTTATAATGTGTAACTAGGTGTTAAATTTTAAAGTACAAAAGCGTAATTTTTTTGCACTTGGAATTTAATAAAACAAGATGGTTACAGTAAAAAAATACTTGGTAAAATTACAAACTAAAACAATTACTTAAGTACTGTAACAAAGTCAATGTACTTAATTACACACCTCTGACTGAGGCAGGAACAGTTAAATGACTCACACAAATGATAAAACCGTATTATTGGAACAATTTAGTATGAATAAAAAAAATGTTGGCAGCTCGTACAAAAAGAAGAAAAAGAAAAAAAAGAAAACTAAAAATTCAGTTTAACGATCGATACCTGAGCAACAAGAAGCTTTTTAATGTTTTCCCTCCTAAATACACCGTAGTTGTTAGATGACATCATATTGATGCATTAGTCCACATGTGGATCTAATAATTCCATAAAGAAAATTTTACATTCTTGTTACAATTGAACCATTGAAATTTAATTTACTTGATTTTTTTTTATGTTTTAAATTTAAAATAATCTGGTGCATGATCAGTTTTTAGCTGTTCCCATTGCAAATGTGCACAAAATTTCGTCAATATTCTGTTAACGTCGAAAAAAACACAGTTTTACAAAATGCTGTGTTTTCAGTAAGTCACGCATGAATACGTTTGTTCTCGTGATAAGTCATTACAAACATGGCAGCAACGGATGTAAACAACATGAGGATATATTCATCTTGCTACCACCACACTATCGCTCATCATCAGCCATCAGAGACGTTGGCGTCTTATCCAGGCTTTCGAGCGACAAGCTCCTTATACCTGGGAGCGGCTACGCATGCTACGTTTTTAGGAAATTGTAGTCGGTGATTTTACTACTACTTCTACTTCCTGTTGTCTTCTTCTTTGTCGTCGTTTTCACCAGTAGAAACAGCCGGTTGTTGATCACTGTTGGTCAATGGAAACGCAACTAGTGATTTCAGGTTGAGATTCAGGGTTTTATTAAAACTTTGTGGACGAGCCGAGCTCCTCTGTATCGCCTCACATCTCTTCAGACGTGAGTCGTGTTCAGGAATAAATGTTAGATCTGAGCAGAAATCCAAGGCTGAGTGTAAATTTTTCAAAGCAGCAGAAATATTGAGCATTCGAGGCCTTGAAACAATGTTGGGTAATGAAGGTCTGTGTGTGTGTGTGTGTGTGTGTGTGTGTGTGTGTGTGTGTGTGTGTGTGTTTAAAGGTGGTTTATTCAGGTTGGAGTTGAGTTTAGCTTCTGTCTAATGAGTTATTGACCAGCTCTCAGTCTCCTGTCTGCCTCTATGATCACTGCTTCGAGTCCAAAACCTGGTCCAGTTTCTGCTGACGTAGGCCGTGAAGGAACGGGTGACAAAGTAAAAACACAAAAAATAGTATTTTTCTGTTGGAGTGTGTACAAATATGTGTATCTAAGTGTGTTTTAATAAAATAATCAGAGTTCAGGTCACTCAGACCCAGCGGGGGTCTTAAGTGTTTACATTCCGTTCATTTTATTTTAATTTTTTCAACATTTTTGGCCAACCGTATCACAGAAACAGCTGCACCGATCCACATGAAATTTGTTATGAATATGGATGTGGTCGGCCTACACTGTGCCCCCCAACAGTTTTACGATAGACCCCATATTTGAGGAGGGGGCTCCATCTGAAAAGGAGGAGTCTGGACTAGGGATGCACCGATACCAGATTTTTGAAAACCGAGTACGAGTACAAGTACTTACATTAAAGTACTTGCCGATACCAAGTACCGATACAAGTACTAATTAATATCCTTAAAAATCCTTATAATTAACTTAAACTGTTTATTTTCATTAGGCACTTCAAACATAAATAAACAAAGTACATTACTATTGGTTCAAAACCATTTAACTGTCATATAACCATACTATGACAGCATGTACAAAAAATAAATAAATAAACCTAATACACCTAAAAGAGACTTCCAGTTGATTTATTTTTTATTCCATCTTCATTGTAGATGTAAAAATTTTAATGATCGGCTCAAGTTATCTAAAATGTGTTACAGGGCCCTCACTGAATATTAGAGCATTGTACCATCAACTATATAAATAAACTAAACTAAATAAACTTTGTAG